ATTCTTAGACTATATAGTCATAAGACAAATAATATTAAAATTAATTCGAAGGTTTATTATTAAATGATTTTTTTTTTTTAAAAAAAACAAAAATACCATATAAAACAGTTCTGGCATAGTCTTTTACTAATAGTAGATCAATTTCTATATTTGATAATATCCAGGACTGAAGTAACACAAGCACATAAAGTACCCTAGGATACTCCAGAACCTTCTAGAATGATGTATTAAAAGTCATTTAATTGTATTACTAATTTTAGAAATAATAACATTATTATTTAGTTTATAGCATTACCTTATACTATTATTATATAGCATTATTAGTTGCATTATTAGACAGAGTTATTTTATGTTGTTATCATTTTATAACTATTTTTAGCATTAGAATAACATTATAATAATCTAAATAATAGTATATAATATTATTGCAATGATTTGCAATGATTTACATTAGTAATATAATGATTTATAACATTATTTCTTAATATTATTTTATATCATTATTACTATATATAGCATTATTGAAAAATATATAAACTCTGCTTTTTCCTTAAGGCAGAAAGACATCAATATATGCTCCACAATTATTTATTTGAATATTTATATCACTTCTGGGTATATTTGACCCTTTTCTTTGATTATTTTCTTGTGTAAAACCTCTTTATTTTGTACTGTATTTTCTTAATAATAAACTATATAATTCTATAGTAAAATTATTGTTTTTTTATTAATATTTTTGATTTATATTCAAGTAAATTTAATTTTTTTGATTATTTTTTTAGTTATTTTATAATATTTTTGGATTAGTTTAAACTTTTCTTTAGTTTTTTTTGTTTAAAACATTCCTTAACTACTCTTATACATTAAATCAAATAATATATTTAACTTAACTAGAAATGACACATTTTATTATTATTATATTTAATATTTAGTTAAGCCAAGCAAGCATACTACAATATAAATGCTTATTCTAACCTTAACAACTTTTAAAAATTCTATTAATCTTATAAAAAACAATATAGTCAGATTATAAAATAATTTACAATATCTAAAAGATTATTCTAAACTGATTTCTATTTAAAAAAAAAAACATTTTTTTATTATCTAAAAATATAAAAATAACAATTAGTTTTAAAAAACTTAAAATTTTTTTGCAAAAGTTGAAATTCATAAAGTTTTCTAAACAGTTGTGTGCCAAATAATAACACAGCCAATGATTGGTACAAATTTTGTACCATAGAATTAAAAAAGAATTTTTCCAATTGAAAGTCTTTTATCAAAAAGAGAAATGATCTGCATTACACGAATTTGAAAAATCCTCAACGTACGTACGTACGTACATAGTTTTTTATTTAAAAATGATCAAAATATTAATCTACTAACAAGACTTATGATCCAAACCACGTACTATATGTTTTAACAATTATAAGTTTATATTTTGTATATATTGTTATATGAGCAATAAGTTGATATTAATAATATAACTCAAGCTATTTGAAACGTTCCAAACTATGCAATAATTAGCATAATATAGTTCGGCAATAGAAAAAAAAAAGCCAAAACTTATACAATACTGTTATTACGTACATAGTTTGAAACGTTCCAAATAGTTGGGTTACATCTTAATTGATATATCGTATGTATATATTTTTTAACTTTCTAATATGTTAAAGTAGTATTTTCTTTTTACAATATTATTTTTACAGTATTCTTAATTATCTTAGAGACAATATTACAATATTTTTGAATTTGATTACTGTTAAAAAAAACTTACTTAAAATAGAATTATATGTATATACTGCCCAAACCATCAATTCTCAAAATTTTACGTACCTTAGTAAAATTGGTTTTTAAAATTTTAATAATTCTCAATAGATTTCTAGCAATACAACGATAAATTTAAGATTAGTACATATAGTATTTTAAACAATTTTTAAATATATATACGTATATATATAGTATATAAAGATAAAAAATTTTATAACTAAAAAAAAGAAAATCCGAATTACTAATTTGTTACACCAAACGTTGCGAATCATTTCCGGAAAATTATCCACGAAGCAAAAAAGCCTGAAAAAAGCCTACGTATAACTCCAAAACGATAAAAAAGTTTATGCACTCTGTTAGATAACGATTCTAAAACAGTTTAGATTCTATTCGTGTCAATAAGGTTCATAAGGTTTAATAATCACATGATTACTGCTTGCACTACATTTCTTTACAAAAATGAGACGGTAATTATATTAGGCGTCAGATTTTCTTGCCTTCTCTTATAAAAATTATAATTTCGTACTTTGTAATAGCAGGATTTTAGATTGAATAGGTGTATCTAGCATGATTGGGCGCTGATGAATTAATAAATTTGAATCAACTTTTTTTTTTTGTGGTAACCACGAGATTAGAAGTGATGGACAAGTGATGAACCAACGGAAATTTTCGTACTCCCAAGAATGCAGCTCAAAATTGTATTTATTAGTTAGTCTATAAATCCTCTTAGAGCAATTTTTCATGGTTGCATAAAACTGTTTGCCGTTACTATAAAAACACCAGCCGAACGAAATCTTAACGGTTGTTTGTATTCCCAGTTATTTAGTTGTTCGTTGGTGTTTTTCTATTGTTTGCTATTGTGTGTTCTCTCTTTCGTCTAATCTTAGTACCGTCTTAGTCTCTTCATTTATTTACCCCTTAGCTGTATTAGCTGTATCATTGTAATACACTTCTTTTATTCTTACCTTCACTCTTTGTGCTTAAACTTTCTACGTCGTCATTGCGGGTCCTTTAGGCGGTATTCCTTTTGTCTAAGGGGTCGGAGACTTTCGGGTGGAACACGGCAACATTTCATAATAGCTTTCAAACCCTTTGTTGCCTTTCGGTCGTCGTTCACAAATATATAAAATTATAAATTACGTATAATTAAATATTCTTGCACTATTGTTGTCGAGCTTCATTTCATTATAAAGCTTAGAATATATTATATCGTTTCCACACTGGACCAGTCAATGGCAAATGGTGAAAAGAGGTTGATTCCGGAGGACAGAATGGAAAAAAGGAAAGTTTCTAAGCGGCGACAAACGGGCACAACAGCGAAGGACGATATTGAGGTAAGTTATGCAAAATGCTTCCTACTTTTTCAAATAGAGCTTGTTTTCATGAATTTTAATTTTTTTCGATACCTTTTTATAGCTTTTTCAATCACCGCCAAATTCGCCGCGATTAGCGCCAAAATCATCACATTTGACATCCTCTCTGGAGGCTCCATCTCAACTACAGACACCTTTTTCTTCTCCTCCGTCCTCACGTCCATCTTCTCCTAATCCTTCAGATTCATCATGTTTTACATCTTTGCCTATTTCTCGCCCTTCAACTCCATATTTCAAAGAAACCAGTACTGATGTCACTATTATAACCATAGTCTCCCGTGATCATAATTTTGTAGACGAAGATTTTGTTAGAGATTCATTGTATCAGCAGAATTTAAAAACCGTTTCTCAGCATTCGACTATTAATGTTATTAATAGCTCGATACCACCATGTACAAGGTGTCCTCCAGAAATCATATATCATATTTTTGAAATATTACGCAATTTGCACCAGCCATCTTTATTTTCTTGCATTCTTGTCAATCATCAATGGAACGCCATAGGAGCCAACGTTCTTTGGAGTTCCCCCAAATTTACTCACATGCGTTCACTTGACAAATTCATAAAAACTATAGAAAATTTACCTTCATCCCAACAATCTTCATCAACGACAACATCATTAATATTTCATCCTTACGCAGCTTATATTCGCACTCTAGATTTAACATATCTCACAGAACATGATCGCAACAATTCTTCTTTGGCTTCACATCTTCTTCGCCTTCTTCCTCTCATTCATATGGAAAACCTTCACACACTCAACCTAAGCTTTGTTAAAGGCATAACAAATAGCTATCTCACCAAATTGTTATCACCATTTTTTAATTGTATACGTACCTTGAATCTTGCCGGTGGTTCACGTTCAGACACTTGCCTCTCATCTATCATTCCACATTGTCATCAAATCCAACATCTTTCGCTTGCATGGAATACATCACTTTCGGACGCATCAATTAACAAAATAGCAAGTGTGTGTGGCGATAGGCTACGTACACTTGATTTGACAAATTGTGAAAAGGTTAGCGATAAATCAATGTCATCAATTGCAAAATATTGTATAAAATTGCGGGAATTGAGAGTTAGCTATTGTCGTGGGGTTAGTGAAATTGGCGTTAAATCTGTAATCGAAGGTTGTGAAGGATTGAAATTATTAGATCTTGTTGGTTGTTTGGGAGTAGATAGATGTTTCTTGTTGAAATGTAATGAAGAATTTGAATTGGGGAGACTTGATTTAAGAGTTATTTACAGAAGGGCAGCTGAAGGTGCGCCTTCGTGGGTTGAAGAAAACTAAAAAAAAGTTAAAGGTTTTGCTGTTTAAATTTTATATAGCGTGTTATATCATACTTAAATTATGAATTATTTGAAGGATATAGGGATTATTCATATTATAGGGTCCGAGAGATGTCCTCATTCGGAGATAGGGTAAACCACAGTACGATGGATTCACCGTGAATTATATTGGTATAACTGTTGAAATACGTTTAGAAACTATCTTTTTCATAACTTTTTAAAAAAAAGAAACAAAAAAAAAACCATCAAACACACCATCGCTGTACTACCTTTTTTTTCTTTTTTTTTTCTTTTTTTTTTTTTCTGTAAAGGAATTGTATTAACAATGTACATTTATTCATCTTACAACGGAGAGGTCTTAGTTTTTTTTTTTTTTTTTTTTTTTTTTTACAAATATATATTTTTGGTATTCAATTCATATTAGATAGTCAGCAGCATCAGGGCAATGATTATTCCAGATAACAAAAGAAAAACAGCAATCTAAACCTTTTCTTGATACCCTAACGAAGAAATCGGGAACGCATTCATTACGTATGGACACATCTATATTTGATAATTGCGTCAAAAATCAAAGACTGATTGGTAATAAAACTATATAATAAGTTGAAGAGGTTTAAAAATACGTATTTAACAATATTATACAATTTTAAATTGCTAAAGTTTTGAAATTAATAATATGTATATCATATAAGATTTTTTTGTAAATCGAGATAGTTTTGGCACGTGTACCAGGTTACGCAAGTTGTCGATCATAGACAGTTAATTAACCTGACGCTTTAATTTGATATTTTAGCAATTAAATTTCATAAACTTTTTTTTAATAATTAATTTACAGATATGTAAAATCAAAATAAAATAGGTTAATGAATTTGAACTGATGGTTTTTTTTTAGTGATTGTTTTTTTTTTTTTTTTTAATCTTCAAAGGTGAGGTTATGTCTCTATCTTTATTAAAATTCAATTAAACTTCTTTACAAATTAAATAAAAAAATTACATTATTTGAACTTTATATCTATAAGATACTGTCACAGCAGTATTTTTTAAAGAGGGGTTTAAGAAGAGCAAAAGAGAAAGTTTAAGCAGAAGGATTTATTAACTTGTTTTAGAGACAATAAAGATATTACAAGGTTATTAAAACAAAGAGAATATTATAAGAATATTTAAAGAACAATATTCCAAAGAGTATTTAATAGTTTCTATTTATTATCTACTTTAATATTTTCTATTTCAATGTTTAAGAATGTCTGTTGGAATAAGGAGAAAAAGCCTTTTTTTAAATAACTTTTAGGTTGGTATATAGTAGCATACAACCATTTAGGGTACACTGATATATATTAGTATACAATCATATATATTGTACTAATATATACTATTATATAACTATATAGCAAGTGGCATACACTGGCATACAACCATATAGCAGATGGCATATACTGGTATATAGTACAATTATATGACATATAGCATACACAGTTAGGGTGTCAATCATCGATCTAATTACAAACATAGTGCAGGTCATATAGTGGTGATCACTAATTAAGATTTTTTATAGTGTACTGCAGATCAACAATAATTTAATAGTAGAAACATAGAAAGTTCAAGCCGCAATAACTCTTGAACCAGCAAACCTACACAAATAAAATTTTATTTATTGGGTTTTTCATAATGTGCTCTTTAATGTGACAATGCTTTTTTTTTATTTTTATTTTTATTGCCTGGAGTGTAGCAAGGGGAATAATGTAATACCAAATTCTTGTTTTTGATTTATTATTAACCTGAGACCTGGACAAAAATTTTTTTTTTTATATATAAATTTTACTATAAGTGCGAATGTGCAGCGTCCCTATCTAAAACTTTTTTTTT